GTGGAGCTCACAGCTCTGAGGTTCAAGAGCACAGCACAGTCTCCCCAGCTCACACAAGGCACACATGGACCAGGGTTGGAGAGGTCCCCAGCTCCCTGCAACAACTCATTCTCCAGGAAGGCAGGCCTGTCCCATAAGACCTACATTCCCTACCTAGCTGCCTCCCACCACCTTGACAGCACCTCGAAGGGTCAGCTTCCTGCATCTGAACCTGTGGGCACAACCCAGCCCAGCCTAGTCCCAGCATGGATTCCAGACAACCACCCCGGTGTTCCCTGTGGCTGGAATACCTACAGCTCAAGGCTGTAGAACCAGGATGAGTCTCTTTTTCCCTCTTCTCAGCTTCACAGGCAGATTTGGTCTTCCCCTAGTCCTCAGCAACCTCAGCATGTGATCTGTTGGTTTTTTTTTTTTGAGTCAAGAATGCTGGTGCTTGCACTTAAAGGAGGCCACTTTCTGGCTTCTCTGTGGCAGATCTGCACCCTCAGCTCCATTGCTCTGTGCTTTGGAGTCCTTTCTAAGTGAAACAAGGACTCCTGCCGTGCAGGCCCTATGGCCCTCAGAGCTGAGCAGATGACAAGACAGATGCTGGGCAACCAACAGATGGGTGGTGTCCACGGCGTGGATGCACTGGCCGGAGAGATGAAGGCCACAGTGTGAGACTGTATGTGCCAGCCGGAGCAGCATGCGACTAAACAATCAGAAACAAATCCAGGAATTTTCACTCCCTGGTGACCGAGAGTAACTGAAACCACGGAGAGGGAAGCATGGGCTGGGGGATGCGCCACTCTGCCGCCTGGCCTGTGGAAACCTCTTGCTTTCCAGGAGGCGGACCCCAGGTGAGCACACCTTCTCCTTCTCAGGAGCAACAGCAATCTCTCCAGTTTCTTGCCTTAGTTTGGGAGCCGCTTCCTCCCCAGTCTTCTGCAGCCTCACCAGGGTGTGCCTGCCTTCTCTGCTGCTCTGATTGTGCTCAACACCCACGTCTTCACTCATGACAAATTTGTCTTTTGTTAATTTTTTCCTTTTAGTTCTCCAAGGGTTTTTTTTCTGCTTTTCTTTTTGCAACTCCAAATAGACAATTTAGAACTCTTTGATGAAGCCACTCTGTCTCACACCATTCCATTAATATTTGTCATTTTTATGTCTTTGGGGCTATATTTTGGAAGAACTTTTTGTCATTACCTTCCAACTCATAAATTCAGTTTTTAGCTATGTTTAATTCTGCTCTTTAACCCATTAATTTTATTTGATCTGTGTTATGTCTCTCCAGATCACTAAGGGTTTTGCGTTGCTTTATATATAAAATATCATCATCCATTTCTGTGATGCTATTATACCATATGCTGACATGAAGTGTACTTATTCTAAAGAATTTCCTGATACTCTAATCTTTGTTTCCTAAAGTGATGTCTTTTCCATGTGACTTGTGATTTCAGTTTAATTTGCCACATCCCTCTGAACGCACTGATCATCCTCCATCGTTGCAGGTCCTTGGTTTTGGGCCATTTTCTGTGTTTGTCTCTTTGGTTTGGGGTGGAGGGGGTAGGAGGAGATAGACATTTATTTCTGCTGGATAAGTTTGATATTTATACAAATAGATCAATATACAAATGTATCTACATTGTTAGTTTCTACTTACACGTATTGATTGAATGAAAACTGAGTCTCTGTCTTCTCACTGAGTGGCCATGCCTGTGACATTGGACTGCCCAGGAAAGTGGTCCACCCTAGGATTTAAGTGCTAACCAGCAAGGCCAATCTCCAGCTCTCAGGCTTTGGATAAATGGTTTGACTTTTCTGACCCTTGACTTTCTAATCTGTAAAGTGAGTAGCAGAAGAGTACCATGAGGATTAGGGGCAATCTTGCAGATCTGTGTGCTGGTGCCTGCCACATGGAAAGCTGTCTTAGGAGGTTCAGATAAAACCCAAAAATGGGAATACTGACATTACTTGTGGTGGAACCGGTAATGTGACGGTGAGGAAAGGCTTTGACCCAGGAAACTTCCCAAGTATTGCTCCTCCGAGCACCCTCATGGAAACCGCAGTGCCACCCATGCCTCATAGACAGGGCCTGGCAGAGAGAGGAGGGCACTGTCACCCTGCAGGGTCTGCAGCTGTCTCCTAAGATGGACCCCTACACACTGGACTTGAGCCCTGCAGGCCATCCACGCTGTTTAGACTTCCTACTCCTCTGAGAGCTTCTGAGGACAGCGAGCTGCTGCTTTCTTCCCACTCCCAAGCCCTGAGCAAGGCGAACAAACTGCAGCCAGATCACCAGCTGCTCCCTAAGCAAGGAGGCCATCTCCAAGAAGATGCTTTGGGGTCTTTTCCCCAGACATAAAGCACATTTTAGCACCAAAAAACCCCCAAAGTCTTCAGATGGCTGCTTAACTCTTGTTTGTCAGAATTCCACTCAGCAGCCGTGTGGGTCCATCCATGTCGGCGTGGTCGTCCCTGTGTCTGTGTCCACTCCTTTTCCAGGGCCACCAGCTTCCTGCTGCACCCCACTTTCCCACCACCCACAGGCTCCCAGCCTGCACTGTGCCTTCCCTGGACTCCTTGCCATGCCCACCTCCAGCCTAAACCAGCCTGATCTGTGGGTAGTGGGCTCACCCAAGTGGGGACTCTGTGGCCTACAGAAAGGTAGAGAGAGGGCACTGACCATGCCAGGCCACTGCAGCTTCCCAATGGAAGCCAAGCCCCAGCAGGTGAGACAGCAGGGGACGTCATCAACCCGCCCCATCCTCTCCTGCTCCTCTCCCCACATCCATAAGCCCCACCTGGAGGATGGAGCTGGCCAGAAGCCCTGCCACAATCCCCATCCTGCTGAGCAGCTAGGAAGCAGCTGAATGATGGCCCAGCAACTTTCACTGGTCTAACGCCCAAGAGGAAGAGCCCAACTTGTCCTCTCCTCTAAAGGGTGCCCACTGGGCAGGGTGGGGCAGGTCTGCACAGCCATGAACACAGGTCACAAGGGAGAGATAGCCTCTCTCAACCTCAACAAGACTCCTGGACTGGGCTGAGATGGGCTGAGATGGGCTGTCCCCACTGTACCCCTAATCCATTGAGAGTAAGATGGGAACTGGGACAAGAATGGGATGTCAGGACAGAGGCTCACACTAGAGCCACATGACATCTGAGCCCTGTCTGTCTTGCCTAGTTTCTGATCAGCTAAAGATGTGGGTTCTTCAGAAGAGACCTAGAAAAGCAAAAGCAATTCTAGGTAACAGAGAAGTGGCAGGGGGTATCACAATCCCCAACTTGAAACTATACTACAAAGCTACTGTGATAAAAACAGCATGGTACTGGCAAAGAAACAAACCCGAGGATCAGTGGAATAGATTAGAAGATGCAGAAACAACTCCAGACATACGCAGCCACCTCATCTTTGACAAAGGAGCCAACCACCCTCACTGCAGGAAGGATAGCCTATTTAATAAATGGTGTTAGAAAAACTGGATTTCAACCTGCCAAATATTAAAACTAGACCCATACCTATCACCGTACACTAAACTAAGACTGAAGTGGATTAAAGATCTAAATATTAAAACAGAAACACTAAACTTGCTGGAAGATAAGTTAGGTAGAACTCTTGAAGACATTGGCATAGGAAAAGACTTTACGAACAAAACCTCAGTAGCACAGGAACTAGCCCAAAGAATCAACAACTGGGATCTCATCTTATTAAAAAGCTTTTGTACTGAAAGAGAAACCACCAACAGAGCTAAGAGACAACCTACAATGTCAGAAAAAATTTTTAGCAGCTGTACCTCAGGCAAAGGACCACTATTTCGAATACTTAAAGAACTTAAAAAATCAGACCCTCCAAATTTAAAGATCCAATTCAAAAATGGGCATCTGAAATGAACAGACATTTCTCAGACAAAGAAGTAAAAGCAGCAAATAAATATATGAAAAAATATTCAACATCACTGGTTATTCGAGAGATGCAGATGAAAACAACACTGAGATTCCACCTCACCCCAGAAAGAATGGCGGCTATCAAGAAATCAACCAAATCAGGCCAGGGATTTAGCTCAGTGGTTCTTGCAAGAGCAAGGTCCTGAGATTGATCCCCAGTAACCCCCCAAAAAAGAAATTACCAATAACAAATGCTGGTGGGGGTGTGGAGAGAAAGGAACCCTTCTCCATTGTTGGTGGGAGTGCAGACTGGTGCAACCACTGTGGAAATCAGTATGGAGACACCTCAAAGATCTAGGATTAGAGGTCCTATTTAACCCAGCTATTCCCCTGCTGAGTATCTTCCCAAAAGAATTAAAAGAATCATACCACAACAATATATGTGCACCCATGTTTATAGCAGCACAGTTTGTAATAGCTAAAGCTTGGAAACAGCCCAAGTACCCATCAACTGGAGACTGGATAAAGAAGATGTGGGTTTTTTTATAAAATGGAGTATTACTCAGCCATAAAGAATGAGAAACTAGAGACATTTATAGCTAAATGGATGCATATTGAGGCCATACTCACATGAAATAAATAGGACACACATGGGTAAATACCGAATAGTTTCTCTGGTGTGAGAAACTGAAAATGCAAATAAGGATTAAAATGATTGATAAGTAATGTGAAATAGGAAGAAAAGGTCCAAAGGGGTAAGGGAAGTGGGAGGGGAAGGAGAAAGGAAAGAAGGGAAAGGAAAAATGATGAGAAATGGAAAAATGGAAACAGTCTTTGTAAATAGAGAAGGGGGGGAAGAACTCACAGGGAATAGGGAAAAATAAGAACCAAGATACATCACGTACAGGTACAAGCACCCAAGGATAAATGAAAAGGTATTGTATACCTAAAATGTACCAATAAAAGAATTTAAGCAAAAAAAAAAAAGATGTGTGTTCTTAAATTACTTACAAAGTCTGGTGAGGGTCAGCCTCCAACCTTGCTCATAAGCATCAAACAAGCCCACAGGCCTCACGGGCTTCCTGTGAGTAAAACTGGGCAGGCATTCGTCCCCCCACCCCACCCTCACCACACACCTCAGCTGACCTGGCTCCCCCAGATCGGGGTACCCACAGGAGCTCTTCTGAGGTATGGCAGGACATCCACAGGAGCAGGTTTCACAAACAGCGGAGAAGGTCTGAGCCCTAGGAAAGAGGAAGCAGCCCGGTGTGTCTGCAGCTCGGCCCAAACCAGAGCCCAGGTCCTGCCTATCAGCCTGGGCCCTGGGGGGTCACCTCTGCCCTTCCTTTCACAGACACAGCCATGTGCCTCGGCCAGGGACCCAGGGCTGAACAGACACCACCCCAGGTGCAGGTGCAGCACCTTTTCTCAGGACACATACCCTGCTGGCCCTGCTCCTTTCCTCCTGGTCCTACACACCCGTTGTAGGGGATGCCCTTGTAGAGACATGAGATCACAGGTAGGAAAAGGATAAAATAGGATCTCATCGAGCTTTATGAAAGAAGTTAATAGGGGCCGGGGATTTAGCTCAGTGTTTTCGCCGCCTGCTGAGCAGGCGCAAGGACCTGAGTTTGATCCCCGATACAAAAAAGAAAAAAAAAGAAAAACTTAATAGAAAATCTTATTAAAGGCAGATATTGCTTCTGCAGTTAGACTCCAGCAATTAGAAAGACAGAGGTAAAGAAAGAAAGAGACCAAACCCTGGAAGGTGCCAGGTGACACAATTAGCATAAGAATTTAGCAGGAAGAGTCTACAGACAAAACAGGGGTGTAGCCTAGAACATGAAAGGCCAGGGTAACCAGCCCCCCTCATCCACCTCTGATAAAATGCAAAGGAGACAAGAGGCAGCCACCTAAGGATTCTTATTTAACATATAAAAGACACACACACACTGTCTTAGTTACTTTTCTCTCATTGCTGAGACAAAACACTCAACACTCCAATTAAATGG